ATTTTCTGAAGAAGGGTCTAGACCCGAAACGTCAGCTTTCCTGCTCCTCTGATGCTGCTTGGCCTGCAGTGTTCATCCAGCTCCACACCTTGTTGTCTCTTGGTAAGTAACTAAAGAATGGAAGACCCAGATATTCTATATTGAATGGTGTTTGTGGAGCGGAGGATGCTGTCCAGACCTCCTCATTCTGGAAACAGGCCCAGAGCATTGCTGATACTGCATCAGGAATGGAAACCAAGAACTTCTGATTCTGAAGCAGGAGTGCTATTCACAAGTCTCACTGATACATCTTTGTCTAAAATTTTAAAAAGGTGGTTTAAATAGTAAATGTGTAATGTTGACATATTAAAAAACAGACAATTCCAAAACTAGAGGAATGGAGAGTTCCTGATTCTGTGAAATGAGCAACCACTTCCAAAATTTAATCTTGGCCAAACGTATCTAAAAAGTCAAAAGTCGGCTGACTGGAACCAGATCACCAGAGATAAAGGACTGCAGGATCAAGTCCCATGTGTAAGCATGTACTGTAAATGTTTGAAAAGAAACACAAATACTCAAAAGCATTTATTCTGGCTCTACCATATACACTGTACTTAACATAAGAATTGTACTTGTTTTAGCAATGATTTTTTTTCTCATACAAATGGATTGTTGCTAGAGTTGGAAAGAACAATTTTACCAGATGATGAATGGGGATCTACATTCAAACCTACAGAGTGTAAATCAAATGCAATATAAATTTTCATTGAATTTGATCCTATAATGTTAATGAGACCACAAATGGCATTTTACTGGTTTACTGTGGTTATAGGGTGCATATTTGCCTAGATCATTAAGAATGGTGAGTGTGCAAGTGCGCCTGCTTACAAACTACAGCAGACTACCTGGCAAGCAGAGTCACAACACCGTATACACAGAGCACATGGAATCCTTAAGAAGGTGAAATCTCTGAAAAGATACACATATAAACATTCCTGACATCAACAGATGTGTTGTCACAGTTAAATTCTACTGCTGGTGCAGATTTTGTTTAAAGGCCTCAAAATTTCATGACCGGCTTCCGAGAGACATCTGATGATGTGCCTGGGCTCAAAATTATGGTTATATCTTGCTGATCTCACATATGATGCTGATCACAATTAACCTATTCTCTTCTAGCCAACATGGTGCAATCTTAACCACTTGCAGCAACAGAATCTTTTTGTGATAGTAAGAACTGCCGATGCTGGAGTCAGCACCTTTTTGTGGCCTAGATGTTTCATTCCACTACCTCAAACACAGGTAACTTCCAAATAAAAAGCACACCAGAGAGAAGATGCAATGTGCAGCAATGAGAAACAAGTCAACCAAAACTAAATGGAGGTAATAATGGCATTAGGACTTGACTTGGTGCAAACATCAAGATGGAGGGGCCCAAAGGAGCATAATTCATCCTGTTTGAAAACAGCAAGTGTGGCTAAGGCTAAATGAATTGTCATTGTGAAGAGAAAGCATATCCACAGAGAGGACTATGCCACAATATTAGCCAACTCAGTGTGTTGCTTGTGGAGCGTTGGGTGGGCTGATCATCAAGGGGTAAAGAACCATCCATTTCACGAAACAGATAGTTGCCGAAAAGTGCATTACAGATTGGAGCACTGGACTCCAGTTGCCCCAAGGGAACCTAAAATAGGCCCTTTAATTGCCTTAATAAGTATCCACTGGCTCACTCACCCCAAACCTGCCTCTATCCAAATGGATCAAAAGTGGAAACATACCAAACACCCCAATGCCAATTTTTCATTCCTCTGCACCCACTCCCACTTCTGATGTTATTTGAAAATTCTGTCCTTAGTATTTCTGCTCCGTCCTTTTGAAGATATTGAGTTCTGTGATTTTATTTTAAAATGACAGTTATGCATGGATGCATTTATTTTATATTTTCTTCATTTTTCTCCCCCCTCCCCATTGCTTCTGTTGCAACCAATGTCACAACACGTCCTCCTCTTGAATTAGGATCACAGGAATTTCAAGCTAAAATTCTGATCAATTCCAGGAAGTCTGAATTAACCAGCATAACCTAGACATGTAATGTTTATTTCAAGCATGCTGGGTACTGAATCCAGGCACACTTGTTATTCTTCTAAGTGTCTAAGCATCAAATGTTAGCAGAGTGTTAGACTATGAGTAGCATTACCACTGATCTTAATTCTAACTTCATGGATTGGCTACTCTTACCAATCTCTCCAGTCTAACATATAGATGGATGTAGCTCAACTACAATCTTGGCAGAGATCATCTAGTTCAGCCCAGACAATGGTTTATTTTTGGAGGAAGCCTTGCCTTGCGTTTCTAATTTCACCACTAACAAATATGTAGTGTTCTGTCCAGGCTATCCCAAGGGAAAAAATCTCTCATCCATTTAAAGGATGTCACTTTCACGATAAGGTTTAGATTTTGATTCAATAAGTTTGGTTTACAGAAGGATTTAATTGTAACACAATTATAAATGTAGTAATAAACTGACCATTTTTGCATGGTGCTCTGTTCGTCCTCCAATTTTTGTTTCTGAAGGTTGGGTCACAGACTTCCACTGGTATCATCCACCCTAATGGGCAAAATAGTCCAGTAGTTTGCTACGGTTTTGTGTGAGCGTTGACCAGGAGACACTGACTCTTGTCACCTGCCATCAGGTCTAGGATTTACAGGTTTTAGGGGTAAGGATGCTACCATTGTTGTGTGGAAGACTACCCCCTTTCTGTTACTATATCATTGTGCATTCTCGTTTCAAACCAGGTTCACAAGAATTTCAAGCTAAATCTTCTCAAAACTTAAGTATCTTTGACATAAAAAGATTCTGACGATGTTATAGAATAACAACTATACAATATTACAAAAAGATTTAAGCATATATCAAATTTAGAGCAAAGTTACAAACTTAAATTGGTACTCGCTAATTTGATTTGAAAAGATATGGTATCTGAGGAACACAAAATCCAGCAAAGTATCTCAACACGATATTTTTAAGCAAATGGCACCCATCCAAACAAACTGATGACATACAACTGTAAGCTGACCAACACACGTATACCAAGAATCATGTAAGTGGCAGGTACTCAATTCTTCTGAGGAGAAACAGATGCCAAAAGTAACTTGCAGGATTATTCTAAACTGACAAATAGAGGGTAGAATAAGGAATGCTGCGGTTTTACATTGCGTTTCAAATTATAACAAGCATAGTATTAGAATCCCTGGAGTGAATTTTTAAATTTACTTTCACAAGATGGAGAGTGTAGCTGTAGAATCACTATTTCCAATTACAGCAATAATGCTTGTACAAGACAATTAACAGTTATTAAGCCAATTAGATTGTTCAAATACAATGGCTGTTTCAGGCTATTACCCAGAAGAAGTTTGGCAATTTCTATCATCTTCACTGGAGACTGTCTTGCTAGTTTTATGTAAAATGTTTACATCACTCAATTATTTTCACACTGTCTGTAAAGTTATCTTGATCTGCAAACAGTACTTATGGTGGTTTGAGCTAATCAGGACAAAAAAAATCACATCCTTCAATTATTTAGCAGATTACTGTACAGTGGTACACAAGCCTCTGCAATTCAGCCATATCACTTTGACAGAACAATAAAATCAAATGATCTGAAGTCTTCCAATTTACATTCACTCAGATTCAAAGGGAACCAAGCTAGTCCTTCGAATGTAATTTGGATATTAGATTTAAGATTTCTTTTAAATAAAAAAAGGGGAACAGAATGGGTACGTTCCAAACCAATCTTAGAAACTCCAAAACATGGTGAGCAAATTTTAAACCCTCCCCATGGCAAGTTTGGCAGAAGGGGGGCATTTAATCAGGTGGGAGGGTGGCATACGAGGACACTGTTACTTTGATGATGTCTATGGAAGTCCTGAGGTTGGGCAGTTAATTCAGCTGTATAAGGCCTTACCCCTCTGCCACTAGTCTTAACCCTATGGGAGGCAGAATGGCATCAGCATTCAGGGAGCACGACATCCTAACTCTTACAGATGGCTTGCAAGAGGGAAGGTTCCTTTCTTCAAAAGTAACTCAACAGCCAATTGAGGGGGAGGAGGAACCTTCTTGAACTACTGCAGTCAATTTAGTACAGGTACATCTACAATGTCGTTCGGGAGGGAGTTGAGGATTTTGACCTAGTGACACTGAAGGAGTGGTGATGATATTTCCAAGTCAGATTGGTGAATGGCTTGCAAGTGGTGGTGTTCCTCTGTAACTGCTGCCCTTATCCTTCTAGATGAAAGTAGTCACAAGTTTGGAAGATACTGTCGAAAGAGCCTTGGTGAATTTCTCAAGTGCATCTTGTGGACGATACACACTGCCGACGGTGAGCATCTGTGATAGGGGGAGTTTGTAGGTGTGGAGCCAATCAAGTGGGCTGCTTTTTCCTGTTTAGTGTCAAGCTTCAAGTGTTGCTGGAGCTGCAGTCATCCATTCAAGAGGGGAGTATTCTATCACACTCCTGACTTGGAGCTTGGAGATGGTGGACAGGCTTTGGACAGTCATGAGGGGTTACTGCATGCAGGATTCCTAACCTCTGACTTGCTCTTGTTGCTACAATATTTACATGGCTAGTCCAGTTCAGTTGCTGGTCAATAGTAACTACAATAAGCAAACAGTCATTTCTATGCTACCCCACTGATTTTAATTTTACGAAAACTTGCAAGCTTACATAACCCTTGACATTGCAGACTAATGGCTTTGAAGAAAGGTTTGCCTGTTCCGGATTTGTCAGTAGAATACATTTTATCAATGACTCACGAGTTAGTTTAATTAAGATACCAAAAACGTTGGTACTTTTTAAATCAGAATTGGAGTGTGAAAGCAGGTCCTGAAACTGAAAAGGCTCAGTCTGGAAACATCATATCCTTAAGCATCCAGTAGAACATTCACTTTCTGAATGGGACTTGGCAGGACTGAAACTGTTAAGAATGAGATCCCCAAAACAAATCCAGCAATATAACATGCTACAGGCCTCAGTAATGGAACCTTGGATTGGATTCCCTCCTACACATATTGTTTTCCAAGCCCAGGAATCTGTGCAGCACTTATTTTCATAGAAGCTGTACAGATGGAAAGAGAGCATTCAAGCCCTTTGAGTCTGCACCAACCTTCCTGACAGCATCCCACCCAAACCCAGCCCCTGACCCTAACCCTGTAACCCCGCATTTACCATAGCTAATCCACCTAGTTTGCACATCCTTGGACATTACGGACAACTTAACATGGCCTTTCCACGCAACCTGCACATCTTTGGACTGTGGAAGGAAACTGGAGCACCCAGTGGAAATCCACACAGACTCGGGAGAAAGTGCAAACTCCACACAGACAATCGCTCTCGGGTGGAATCAAATCAGAGTCCTTAGCACTCGGGCAGCAGTGCTAACCACTGAGCTACCCTTAGACCTGAATAAACAACAATAATTCTGATTTACTATTCACTATGGAAGTGTACATTAATTCCAGGTAAATCTAAAATTTCTTCTAAGTTCAGATTTTCCACAAGACATAGGGGCAGTACCAAGGCATTCAGCCCATTGAATCTACTCTGCCATTCAATGAGATTATGGTTGATCATAATCCTCAACTCCATTTTCCTGCCTTTTCCCTATTACCTTTGATTACGTTACTGATTAAAAAATGTGTCTATCTCAGTCTTGTATATACTTTACAACCCAGCTTCAAAAAGTTCTCTGCAATAAAGAATTCCATAGGTTCACTAGCCTCAAAAGAAATTCCTCTTTGTCTCTATCTTAAAATGTGCAATCCCTTACTGAGATTAGATCTTCTGCTCCTAGACTTTCCCACAAAAAAGGGGAAAACAACACATCCACATCTGCCCTGTCAAATCCATTAAGAACCCCTGTATGTTTCAATAATAGGGTCACCTCTCATTTTTTCTACATTCCAATGAGTACAGGACCAATCTAATCAACCTCTTGTAAGACCATCCCCTCCAAACCTGGTATCAGCCCAGTGGACCTTCTCTGGACTGCCTCCAAAACTAATATGTTTTTCCTTAGATAAAGGGGCCCGAAACTTCACAATATCCCATCTGTGGTCTCACTAGTGCCTCGTTTAGTCTTAGCAAACCCCTGCTTCTGTATTCCATTTCGTTTAAAACAAAGGCCAATATTTCACTTGTCT